GAGATATTTACACACCCATGTTCACAGCAGCATCATTCACAGTAACTAAAACATGGAAATAACCCAGGTGTCCATTGACAGATGAATGAATCAGTAAAATGTGGTATATACACACATTGGAATATTATTCAGCCTTAAAAAGGAAAGACATTCTGACACATGCTACAACGTGGGTGAACCTTGAGGACTTTATGCTAGGTGTAATAAGACAGTCACAAAAGGATAAATATTGTATGAATCCACTTACATGAGGTACTTGAGTAGTCAGATTCACAGAGACAGAAAGTAGAATGGTGTTTAGCAGGGACTGGGGAGTTACTATTTAACGGGTGCAGAGTTTTTTGTTTTACAAGATGAAAAGCCTTCTGGAGGTGGACAGTGGTGATTGTTGTGCAATGAAATGGATGTATTTAATCCACTGACTGTGCACTCAAAAATGGTTAAGATGGTAATTTTTATGTTACGTGTATTTTACCATAATTTTTGAAATGAATTAGAGCAAAAAAAAATCCCAGGGCCTCAGTTTCCTCCCCTGGGAAAGAGCAGGATTTGACTAGATGGCCTCCAGTCCTCTCACTCCTATGGCTGTGTGCCTACTGCATCTCCACCTGCCTTCCAGAAGCCCTGGCACTCAGCAGAAAGGAACCTTGCAGCCCCAGCATGAGAACAGTCCTGGCACAAGGCAGGCGTTCAGGAGATGTTTGTTGGTAGGATGGATGGCAGATAGATGGATGGATAGACCTGCCCCTAAATCCCAGGCCCGCTGGCAAATGGAGAAGCTAGCTCGTGGCTGGCACTGTTTAGAAGAAGAAATCCAGGAGAAGCCCACTTGGCAATATGGGTTCTTTACATCAGTGGCAAGTACTGAGGGTATCGGGGAGAAAGCAGGCCCAGGAATCCAAAACCCCAGTCTTGATCCCAGCCCTTGCCACCGCTGCATGGCTGTGAATCAGTCACCTGGCCTTTCTGAGCCCCACTTTGCTCCTCTCCCCAGGAAGGGCTCACACCTGTCCAGACCTCCACACAAGTCACTGTGGGCTCGGGTTGGCCCAGTGTCAGGGTAAGGGTTCTGAAAACTGCAGCTGCTGTGCAAGCCAGTCACGTTTGTCATTATTATGGTTACGAGTGTGAACCATGCTGAGTCGAAATCCCAGTGCCCCCTTCAAATAGCTCTGTGGCCTTAGGCCTCATCTGTGTTCCTTATCTGAGACATTGGGATAATCACAGCACCTGCTTCACTGCATTACTGTGAAGGATAAATGAGTTTATTTTTGTACAGCTTTCACAACAAAGGTCTGCAAAGGAAGTTCCATACAAGGGTTAACTTTTTGCTATTGCTCTGATTACTATTATAGGTGAAACCAACCTGGCATTCCCATCCCCCATCCACCTCCCCCACCGCAGACTCTCCACCCCACCTGCGACTCAGTGGGTTTCATTCCACAGGACATTTCAAGCATCTGCCACGGGGCTGGCCTGCGGACGAGAAGCAGTGCCCACACGGCTCTCCCCCCGCCCAGGTCTCCTGGGTGCCAGGCCATGCGTGCAGAAGGGCTCATATCTGGCCCACCTGGGTGGCCACTCCACTTGGCCATCACCCTTGGGAAATTCCGTTTGACTCTTATTTTTCAGAAGTTGAGAAAAGCTGCTTCAGCACTTTCCAAGGATCAGGAGTGTCCACGGAAAACACACCCTCACCCCTCTCCATCTCGCCCCCGCCGGGGGACCCCACAGCAGGGAGGTGACCCTAGGAGCCTTCTACCCAAGGCCTTGGGCAACATCTGTTAAGTAAGACGAAAACATGGGTTGAAGATTAAGCCACTCTGCCCTGGCTGGCCTGGCACGGGCTGGAAAATGTGTTTGGCTGGCAGGGCACAGAGGCTGGCAGAAATCCTAGGCCCAGGGATGAGTGGTCCCAATCCCAGAGGGGTAGGACTGAAGTAAAATGGGTGAGAAGGCCAGAGGGAGAGCTGGGGGCATGGGGAAAACTTGACAAACACACAGACACACAGTGTGAAGCAAGAGGGAAGGGGCAGGGAGGCCAGAGACCAGCCCTACAGAGGCTGAAGGCAGGCAGCAAAGCGAAAAGGAAGGAAAAATAAAACCCGCCCTTTCCTCCCTCTTGTGAACCTGCTCAAAGCACTCGCCTGCCTGCCTGCCTGCCTGCCTGCCTGCCTGCCTGCCTGCCGTGAGGAAACAGGTGCTGAGTGCTCTCTGGGGGAAGCCAAACTTTCTCCCGGCTTCCCCTGGGCCACTTTCCCTCCCCGGGGACAGCAGCAGCGTTTCCAGCTGGAGGCTGGCCCCCCTAATAGGTCCCCACGGCCCACCAGTAAGGGATAGAGGACAGCTGTCCTATTTATTGAGCACCTAATCTGTGCCGGGCATCTGGCTGAATGTCTTTCTTCCAGCCACTCAATAAACATGCACTGAGCGCCTACTATGTGCCAGACAGTGGGGATACAGCAAGGAACACAAAGAACAGGAATCCCTTGTCATCATAGAGTTCACATGCTAAACATGGGGGGAGTCTTTTAAACAAGATAAGCAAGTAAGATGGTGACACATGCTGAGGGGCAAAGCAAGCAGGGAAGGGAGAGAGGGTTGCTGGGGGAAGGGAAATCTGACACTTGAGTAAAGATCTCAGGAGGGAAAAAGCCTGGCAAGTATCTGCAGGAAAAGTTTTGCAAGTGCAAAGGCCCTGAGGCAGCATCTTCCTGGTATGTTCAAGGACCAGCAAGAAGGCCAGGTAGCTGCAGCAGAGTGAGTGAACGAGGGAGTTTCTGAAGATGAGGTCAGAGAGGAAATCTGTCTATTGTGCAGGGTTGTGTAGACCCATGGAAGAACCTGGGCCTTTACTCCAAGTGGTGGGAGGATTCTGAATATAGATTAACTCAGTGAGTTAATTTGCTCCTTTCATTTTCCTCACAGCCTTATAAGGTAGGTACTATTACTAACTCCCAACCCGCAGAGGGGAAAGTGAGGTCCAGAGAGGTTAAGCAATGTGTCCACAACCACAGACCCAGGGCCTGGGGAGCCGGGGTCCAGAGGGAGGTAGTGGAACTCCCTCGCTCTTTGACCACTGCTGGGGGAGGGGGGAGGGGGCAGGTCCTGACTCAGGTGCGGAAACCTCTGGTGTCACAAGCACTCCACCACCAGATGGCTGATTCAACCTCCGCGAAGATCAGAGCCCCCTGCCCAGACGGGGCACGTCACAGAGATGGGAAGCTTCCACAGCCTGCCTCAGGCAGGAGTCCCTTCTGGTATCTGACTGCAATCCCTCCAGCCAGAATGCCAACCTATTCCCTTCTGTTCCAACCCCTGACCCTTCCTCGCGTAAACAAAGTTCACAAGACTCCCAGGGGTCAGGCGTCTGGCTTATGCCTGGAGAGCCCTAAACCCCAGAGCCCCCCAGCCATACTAGACCAGCCAAGGACGTTCTGTTCTCAGCAGTGAAGTGGAAGTTGGGTTGAAATGATGAGACGTAGGCTCCCCACCCCACCCCTCCCTACCCGCCCCCCACGGTGTCCCTCCAACAGTCCCAGAGGGATTTCTCCCTGGCAGTTCCAAAACAGGCCTGCACTCTGGCCTCATCCCCACAGCACCCCACTCCCACCCCCTACTGTTGTCAGATGACCTTCAACTGAGCTCTGCGCGAATAATACCCCACATCTGGAGCGGCACAGCCAGGCAGTGCCGAGGCCCAGAAGGGTTTGAGCCCAGTGAGATTAGGAAAGAGGGGCCGATGCAAAGAAGGGAAGGAGCTAAGCAGAGCCTCGGCTGGGAGGGCAGAGAGCAGGGACACTGTTCTGGGTCCAAAGACAGCTAAGAGTCACAAGCACTTTCGCATACTTTTTTTTGCATACTTTATTTCATTCCATCGATGACCCTGAATGGGGGCGGGTGGTGAGAGGGATATGTATCAGCACGGAGAAAGCCTTTGGAGCATCCAGCGCAACCCATCTCTTTGACGGAGAGGGAAACTGAGGTTCAGAAAGAGGGCAGGGACTGTCCCATTGTCATACGGCAAACGGGTGTTGGAGGAGAAAAGGCCAGGAGACCTGAGTGAGATTCCAGTATCCAAGCTGGATACCGCACGGGTGTGCAGATACCTCCAACTGCCTGGGTCCTGTGGCACCCGTGCCGCCTCCCCCGGACTCCCACCCACATCAGTGTCACCACAGGCACCTCCACACCAGCCAGTCGGATGGTGCCCACAGGGGCCCTCCGTGATGCACCCCACGCGCAAACGCACACACAGGCACCTGCACGCAGGCAGGCGCTTCCCTCTCCAGGCTCCAGGGCCCCACCTGCCTCCTGCGCTGGGCTGGGGAGCAAGAGAGACCTCTGAAGGGAAAGAAGGCAGGGAGAGGGCAGGGACGGACAAATTCCAAATCAGCCCAGCTGGGATCGGTCTGGAGCAGGCCTCTCTCCACAGCCCACAACTCACAGAAGTCCTGCCCCATCCATGCTTTTCCGGAAACCTGATTGGGGGAGAGAAAGAGCGGGGGACGCGGAGGGAAGGCAGAAAAGCAGAGTCAGCGAAGGAGACTGGAGGTGGAACAGGCCACCTGAACGTGAGCAACTGCCCAGGTGTCTGGACTCTTGTGGGTCATGCCATCCTTCCCCCTGCCTCCAGCCAAAGGGTACCTGACCAGGGACCAGGCGGGTGGAAGGAGATGCCATTCCCTGGTTCTGTAAGCCCAGGACAACAGGCACCTGGCCAGGCCTAGAGACAGGCGAGATGTCCTTTTATGGGTTTTTCCAAGGACTTAAGTCTCAAGATTGAAATAGGAGGCCCCGCATCGCATGAAGTCGTGAAAGGACCTCATGACTCATTTCCTCCCAGTTCAGCTTCGGCCTCGGGACATGGCCCCTTCCTCATCATTACCTAATGGCCCAGCACCCATGGGGGCTACCAGCATGCTTGGGTCTCAAGCAAGCTGCAGCGGGAGCTGAGGAAAGAGGGGAGGCGGGGCTGGCAGGAATGGACTGTCACTCACCACCAGTTCATGGCTGGATGGAGGAATGCAGGGAGCAGCCACCTGTGGGAGGAACAGAGAAAGGGCAAGGTTAGCATCCTCATCCCCATAGAAAACCAGGGCCTCCTGAGATCATTCCGCTCCCCGCCACCCCGTGCTAGACACCCCTTCCTTCAGTTCACAAACACTGACACTCTCCAGCGGGAGGACTATGGAGCAACCCGGAAAGCTGCTTAGGCAATAACACGCAGGGGGTGGGGGGAGCGGCAGAAGGCAAAAGTGAAATGGAAGTCCCATTTCTTAAACGCCGTAAAAAAATATGCGGAAAAACTGGAGGTCAAAGCACCAGGGTTAAGGTAATAAGAATACATTTTTTTTTTCTTTGCTCTATGTTCTAAATTTTCTACAATATGGTAAGATTTGTTTTAATTTTTTCAAAAACCGTGTTTAAGACCTCTAGAAAAGGAAGAGTCACCTCCTCCATTCTCCCAAATGCCAAGGTACCTCACCCAAAGGTCACAGCTGCAGACAGCTGGCAGTTTCCCAGACCGTGCAGGGAAACAGGCTGGGGAAGGGCCTGTCGACTCTTCCGAAGGCGGCCACATCGCTAATAGATGTGGAAGGCCTTGAAGAGGGGTGAGCTATGACTGTCATCATCCTCGGCTTCTTCTCTAATGGGGGAGGGGGGTGGCCATGTGGCCTCAAGACGGAGGGAGAGGGCAGGGAGGGGGCTGGTCTGCTCCCTACCCTGAGATAACACTCCCTCCCCAGGGGCCGGGCAGCCAAACCACTACCCTGACAATTAGCAGGGGCCTTTATCAGAGACTCAATGTGTTCCTTTCTTCTAGCTGGGACACGTTTTTCTTGGAGCTCATACCTCAACCTTGGCTCCAATTCCTGACCCAAACACCAGGCAGGGGGCCCACAGAGGGGACGGCGGGGGAAGCTCTCCCCCCACCCCACCCCCTGCTCCGGACGTGAGGGTGTCTGGACATAAGCCGTGGATCGCCAACGAGTGGGGGGCTGCCTCTTCAAACAGTAGGCAACCCGGGCCCCCGCCCCAGCGGACAGCCCAGGCTACAGCTGGCTGTTCATAGAGGCCTCACCCTCAGCTGGGCCCTTCCTTCACCTGACCCTGTTCTAGCATCTGACCAGCCCCAGGGATCACCCGGCTTGACATACCTGCCTAGAAGGGAACCATACCTGTGGGACAGTGTGCCCCGGGCTCTGGAAGGGATGGAGAGGCTGGGAGTTAGCATCCCTGGGTTCTTGACCTGGCCACACCGCAGGCTCCCTGCCCACCTCATTCTCCAGCAAAGAAGCCTGAGCTGAACCTCACTACCTATCACCCTGTACTCAGCATTACTCTAGGACTTGGGAGAATCACATATGAAGCCAAAAAAAAAAAAAAAAAGGAAGGAGCAATACCTAACATATATAATGCATATTGAATGTGCACAGGTATTATTATCAATGCCTTACCCATATTAACTCATGTAATCCTTTCAACAACCCAATAAGGTAGGTACTATTATACCTCCGTTTGAGGTGCAGGGGGCACAGAGAAGTTAAACAATTTGTCCAAGGTCACACAGCTGATCAGTGGCCGAGGGTAGGGTGGAGGATGCCAGAAGAACAGGCCAGAAGGGCAGGAAAGTCCGGAGGTGGCTGCAGCCTTCAGGGCACCCTGCCCGCCTGACAAGGTCTCAGCCACGGGGACACTGCTATCCCCTAGGCACCTTGAGGGCAGGAGTCCTGCATCCAGCAGTGGCCTCCTGCCTGTCTCCTCCTGCCCCCAGCCCCAAATCCCACTCTGAGGCTTGTAGGTTTCAACCTCATGAGGCCAGGCTCCCAGCGTCTCCTGTCCCTACTCCTCCTATCACCCATGGGCCCTCAAGCTGGGGTGGGAGCGGGTCAATCCACAGAGCAGTGCGCCCTGATCTGCTCCTTTCCTTGGAGCTAGAGCTGGGATGAGGCTGGGAACCTAAATGTGGGATCAGCTGCAAGAGGAGGGCATGCTGCCGGCTACTGCCACGGCCTCCCAGCCACGAGCCAGCCACGGGCCAGCCACGGGCCAGCCACATCCACTGCCACCGTCTCCACCTGCAATCCACGAGAGTGGGTGTCTAGTCTCCATTCGGGACTGGGACTTGGGGAAGTGAGAGAGGGCGTTACGGACACATTTTGAGGCAAGGGCAGGATGGACAGGTGTCCTCTGAGACAAGAGGGAGAGCTGCTCCCCCAACACCACCCCAAGGCAGTGGGAAAAATGGGACCTGACACCAGGTCCCTTCCCTGTCCCCCCCGAGGACTGAGATGTGAGGGGCAGCTGAGGACCCCCAGTCCAAGGGCCTGATGACTGGGTGCCCCTCGTGGCCTGCTGCCCCCCAGTGGCCTCCTCCACCCACCACCCACAGCTGTGCATTCCAGGCCAGCTGGCCAGCCAGCCCACTAACTTTGTTGTGTGTTTCAGTGTTTCTTGTCTCTTTTTTTTTTTTTTTTTTAAGCAGAGAAATGTTTCCTTAAAAGGCTCTCTCCTTCCCTCCGGCACCCTGGCCCCTGGCCACCCTCTCAGGAGCCTGGAATGTGCCAGGCAGAGCCAGGGCCCCCTGCCACTCTGGCCCGTGCCCTGTGGCCAGCAGTGACCACTCCCACTGGCCCTGGGGACCCCAGCTAGGAAGCCTCCCTCTGCAGAGGGGGCAGACGCTGGGATGCCAACCATTTGCCTCCCCAGGGCTGGCAGCGTAGGATTTCAGGGCTCGGGCCCAGGAAATCGGCCTCAGGTAAGCCTCCTCCCCGGGTCTCCCTCCACTACGCATCAGCACCCAGGTCAGCCTTTCCATTCTGAAAACTATAACAACAATAAAAGTAGCAGCAGCAGCGAATACTTCCATTGCACTTGCTACACGCCAGGGCCTGTGCTTTGTCCTTGGCGTAAATTAACTCACTCAATTCTCACAACCACCCTGAGCATCTGTTTTATGGATGAGGAGACCAAGGCACAGAGGTTAATCAACTGTCCAGCAGAGAAGGCAGGATGCAAACCCAGCAGTCTGGCTCCAGACAGAGATATGCTCCTGCCCTCTCTGCTGTGTCAACTGTCCTGTAAACACGAATTTCCACAGAGCCATACACAACAAGAGTGGTAACAGGAAGCTTATGGGATGTGCCTGTGTGTCTGTTACTGTCCTAAGCCCTTTCCCTGGACTCATTTGATCCTAATAGAAAGTGTATGGGTTGGGACTTCCCTGGTGGTCCAGTGGTTAAGACTCCACATTCCCAATGCAGGGGGCCCGGGTTCGATGCCTGGTCAGGAAACTAGATCCCACATGCCACAACTGAAAGATCCCACATGCGGCAACAAAGATCCCACGTGCTGCAACTAAGACCCGGCGCAGCCAAATAAATAAATATATATTTTTAAAATGTATGGTTATACATTTGGGTTATTATCTCCATTTCACAGAGGAAGAAACAAAGGCACAGAAAGGGTAACAACTTGCCCAAGGCCACTGCAGCAGAACAGTGCGGCTCCGCAATTAGAGAGCCGGGGATGCCGGGATGTGAGTGTTACCAGGCCCAATGGAGGCCAGTGCCTGGCATTCATCAGCCCCCCACTACTAATATTTTCTGAATTTCAAAGGTCCCCAGGTACAGTGCCAACAACAGGGTACAGCGTCGGAGACTCCCCCAGGACAGGAGGGTCTAAAGCACCAGTCAGCAGGCAGCCCCAGCAAAGAGCTCTCTGCACAACCTGGCCCCTGCCTTTCTCCCCACCATCATTCTATGCCCATCCCCCTCGTCCAGGACCCAAAGCCACACGCAAGGGGTAGGTTCCTCTCAGTCCTTGGGACACACCTGGCTCTGTTCTTCCTCAGAGGCTCTGTTTATACTGTTCCCTCTGCCCAGATGTTCTTAGCCCAGCTGTGTCTGCATAGCTGGGTCCTTCCTCTCCTTCTGGCTTTGGCTTAAATGCCACCATCCCAGAGAGAGGCCCTCTCTGACTCCCTTAAGTTACACACACACACACACACACACACACACACACACACACACACACAGAGATTACACAGAGATATTCTCTCTCCTGAACTCCTATGTCTTCCTTCACAGACCTAATTACAATTTGTAATAATAGATGTGTTTATTTTCTTATCTATAATCTGTTTCCCCCTCTAGAAATCAAATGCCATGAGGGCAGGGAGCATGTCTTGTTCATCACGCTGGTCCCAGCACACAGTAGGTACACACAAAAGATTTGTGGAAAGATGAAAGAAACTCAAGTTCTGAGGAAAGGAAGCACCTGTCACCACCAGTGGTAAAATCACTGCCATTTGTTAAGCACCTACTATGAGCAGGGGAGTTAATCCTACCATATGCCTATGTCTCTGAGACCCTCCAATACTGCAGAGTCGGTAATATTGCTCCCATTTTACAGATGAAGAAATGGAGGCTCGAAGAGGTCATAACACTTATCCAGGGTCAATCAGCTGGCAAGGGGAGAGCTGTAGGTGAAAACCCAACCCGCCTCCCACTGCCCCCATCACCTCACTACCTGACGAGTGGCAGGACCTGGTCCCCAACTGGGTGACACTCCCATCCTCAAGTCTCAGGATTGGTTACATGAAATCCCAGCCCTCCAGAGAGGCTTCCCACACCCACATCCACCTGGCCCCCAGGACTGGAGGACAGCCTTGGGCTCAGCCTAAACTAGAACCACTTGAGCCTCTGAATCGAGCATTTCATCATATAATCCTGAGCAGAAAAGGGTTTGTTCCCCCTATGTCTTGCTAGTCCCTTTTTTTTTAATGCACATAAAAATAAAATGCACATAACATAAAATTTACCATTTTAACCATTTCTAAGCGTAACTCAGTGGCACTGAGTACTCTAACAATACTGTATAATCATCTCCACTATCCATTTCCAGAACATTTTAATTATCCCAAACAGAAACCTGACACCCATTAAACAATAATTCCCCTATCTCCCCCTAATAACCTCTAATCTACTTTCTGTCTCTATGAATATGCCTATTCTAGGTATCTCATACAAGAGGAATC